TGGAAATGGCTACAGTCAAGTCAGACAGAATGTGATTCATGTGAAAAGGATCGCATGTAGGTTCTTAACTCAAAAAGAGAAAAAAAAAAACAAACAAATAATCGGTTGACAAGAAAAGAAAATTGTGGTGTTTCGATTGTGTAGTGTCTTAATGCATTTTGGCAAATACCATCTATATATGAATGATTTATATGTACTTTTATATACTCAGAGTGTTTGTAATACTTCCTTTACTGTCATTCAATATTCGATTTGATTTTATTAAATTTACAGATATTTTAAACATACATTTAAATTGTTTTTAGCCAAAAAATTTCATCGTAATACCATGAGTAAAATATTTTTCTTCTTCTTCTTCTTCTTCTTATTGTAATCTAATCCGGCGAGTCAATTCATTCAATATAATAAATATGCTCATGTGGAAGCATTGTTCCTTGTTTCGCAAAATGAAAAGAGAAACCTAGTTTCATTTTTGTCTCGTTTTTGTCTTTCATTCATTCCGTCGCATCCCGTTCCCCTAACCGAAAAGAATTATCTACTTTTTCAGTTGTTAGTTTCGTTTTATGTGGGTGATTTATTTGACTTTGTAGTTATGTCTGATGCCGAAAATTTTAACACTTGAACAGAGAGAACTACTTAAGAGAATAAAAAAATAAAATAAAAACGAAGGACACATTTCGTTGAAAAATATTGTTATCGGAACTCGAATTTGACTCTTTTCGTATGAGACGACGACGACGACCACAACAAGAACAACGATGTCGACGATTCAAGCACGAACGGATCTTATGCACAAAAATGAAAACGAAATACAACAATAAAGAGAAAACACACTCCCGCATCAAGGAGGATAACACAACAACGTTAAGAAACATGTTATGCGTGGGTGCGTTGTATAATGAATGCTAGAATTGAAGAGAGAGAGACGGAGAGACAACTGGTTTGATGTGCAATTTGGTGAATAGCTTTCAACTTTATCTCACTTGGTGTGCTATAACGACCCTGGATGGTTACTAGTTTCTTCACATTGTCGTCTATATTCGAAAAACTTTCGATCGTTTTGAAGCTAATTGTGAAATTTAAATAGTTTCGAACTTTCTCAAGTAATCTAATGAAGCTGTTATTGGGTCCACTACATTGCATCATTGATTGTGCGTGACTCCACAATGTTCTGCAATTGTTTTTTCAATACACTATTTTTGAGTGTGGGTTTTTTATTGTTTTTTTTTTCTTTCAATTGCGATTGAATTTTTTTTTTTATTAAAATGCAGTTCATATGATACAGACATTATAAAACATTTGATTCATTGAAATCTTTACAAAAAAAAAAAAAACAGATTTTCTCTTTTGTTATTCGAGTTATATTCATACATTTAATATGTGCAATGAAGAATCATTGGTGACAAAATTATTCTTTTTTATTCAAAAATTGAAATCAAAAATATAATTGTACAAAAATAATTATTGGTGGAGATATATTTCGATCTGGAATGGTAAATGGATATGTAAGAAAATATAAATAATTTATTGCTCTTTCATGGGTATTTGCGTTGGTATTTAAAAAAATTGAAACATATTCAATAACACAACATGGTGACATTCAGTGCCAGGTGTTAGTCACCTGGGTATTTTTTTTTTTTGGTTTGTCGTACTAAATGTGTTAACTTCATCAACATTTATCATCGAGACATTTTGCACACTTTTTAATTCACCAAAAGTAATTTATTAAAATGGGACAATTATATAAGAATCGCTTTGCTGACGTTTGGATGTTTACGTAGTAACTAGGGATGCAATTCTCTAAATAGTAGTTTGTTAGCTTTTGAAAATTAATGATACAACTGGGGATATTAGAGCATTAATTCCCACTGTTCTTTGCAATGAGAATAGAAAAGGCACCGAATTCATATAATAACTGAATTGAATATCTATAATATTTTAGGAAGATTTCCTTTCTCAACCTGAGTACATACTCTTTTCTTCCTGCATACCTTTATACATTCCATTCAATAATTTCATTTGTTTGTTACCTTCAATGTTTGTAGATCTATTTTTAAAATGGTAACTCGTCTTGTCCTTGATAATTATATCTTAAGATTTATTTCTGTTTATTTTTCTCTCTGTGAGTCAGTTGTAATGCATTACTTGAAGTAATCATTACGAGGCAGTATTTGAAAATGTCAACATTGTTTAGGTTTTTTTTGCGTGCGTATTTTGCGTCGGAGTTTTTATTAACTGCTTTTGGTGTGCGAAAAGCGAAGACAAAAAAATACGGTTTACTCAGTTGATTTTATGAGTCAACAGCATATTTTCTCCCTGTGGAAATTCTGCCGTCTTGGTGTGTGATTGAACCACATTTTACAACTCCATTTTATTATTCAATTTTATTACATTTTCTTCACATACGTAAAAACGTAAAATAAAGAGGAAAAAAAAGGCAGACGCCAACCGAACAAAAGCATCCAAGCAACAACGAAAATATGATAAATGCATTTGAATTGCTTTTTCCGTCAATAATAAGATGTACGCATGCTAATCGGATGTTCTATACGCTGTATTGTATTGGCTTAAAATGAGCTTACCGAAGTGGTTTCTTTTCTCGTTTGGAATTGCACGGATGGCGAGAAAAATAAAAAGAAAGTAGATCCAAAATGACAAACGAATGAAGATAAAGGTAAATATAATAGCGAAAAAAGTAATAAGTGTATTCGCTATTCCGTAGAGTATTGTATGCAGGGCAAAGCGTTAATGGTTCAAACACAGAAAGAGACTTGGAACGACACGACTCTACCGTATATTTGCGGCCGTTGTGTATAAAGTTAACCTGTGTGTGTGTTGATGATAAAAAGACGATATGTATGCCACACTTTATGCGTGTCACTTTCCATCTGCCACGAAAATATATAATGTTTTTAGCTTATTTCACATTTTTTTTTGTTGCTCGTGCCTGATTTTTTCTTCATAACAAAAAAAAAAAGACTGTGTTTTGGATTACATCAAAAATAAGCAAAATAATGTCCATGAACGTGACACTGAATGCACTAACGCAATGAACGATAGAGAGCAACAAAAGAGAAAATTTTCTCTCTATGTGTTTATTCTTCTGATTTTCCATTTGGCAATTCACTATTCTACGTAGGCCTTTTATTTATCCACAACGCAAAGTTCTTGAAAGACAACAGCGAAAATTTCAATATTGAATTTGTCACGTCGTCAACATTCTACAGTAAGTGCATTGAATGATTTTGTCCATTCGTGACCACATTTTCCTGGAATCAATTCTCACTGGTTGCTATTGTTCATTGCGCAAATGTCCAGTTGATCGCAATAATTTAGAGCATGCCGATATTTGATTTTTGCGTTGTATTCCATGCACATGTGTAAGAACATGGAATTATAGTGTAATTCTCAGGAAATTCTCTCGAAATGTTTTGGTAAAAATGACAATAGCAAAGTGAGCGCATAACTCACCCACAATTTCCAGTAAATGTTTAAAGTGCTTACCGACAACTTGACAAAACCGTTGTGGATCGAAAGGCAAACGAAAAAGAAAGCGTCAACTTTTTTCTGCACGCGAACCTGTACTTTGTTCGTTTGGTTTGTTTACGTGCGAACGGATACCTATTGGTGTACATAGACACCAAATGTAATACACTTTTACACATGGCTGAAACAGGAGAATTGGCTGGCTGAATGAAGAAAAGCCAACGAATAAGGGAAGGAGCAACAATATTATCACATCACGTCACATAAAAGCATTGATCAGGGCGACATGTACTTGTACGTGAATGAAATAAGGAAAATCAATTCGGTTCTATTTTTAGCAATAAGCTCCGTTTGCATACATTTATATGTGCGCGCGAAAAGTGACAACAATAAATACGTGTATGTGTGTGTAAATGTCGAACGTTTTTTTTTTGTTGCTCAGAATGTCTGTTGTATTTTGATGCCGAATTGGGTTTTCTTTTTTTTTCCAGCATTCCTAGCTCAACGCAAAATGTTCAACGTTGCCTTTTCACATGTTTCACCTTTTATTAACAATATTTCTATCTTCTTTTTACGTTGCCAGTAATATCTTAAATAAGGAGATAGAGTTTCAAATGGCATGGTGACTAGCTGTCAGGAATATATCCAATATTTGCAATTTTTTGAAAAATTCAACATTTCTTTTATACATGTATCAATTTTGTCGTTTTTTCTTTAACTCAAAAGTGCCTTCATCAAATGCTGAGCTCTAGAATATTGCACATGATGTTAAGTATTTCCAAAAATCTACACACTCAACATACTGTGCAATACACAATTAAATGTGAAAAATTACTAATAGATGAACTTATTTTGTTGGTTTGATTTTGTAAAGGTGTGAAAAATCCTGATATGTATAGGTTCATTTTATGATACACTTTAATCTTACACTCTTATCGATTTTAAAATTTTAATTTAAATAGTTTTTTTGAACGCATTAAAAATCTTTCGGTATGATGATAAAGTATAAGATTAACATTAAGACAAGTTTGTTCATGAAAACATGTATAACCTTGGTGTGGAAAAATAATTGAATTGATTTCCATCTAGTTCGCCCGTCTACTCGATCGTATGTATATGAAGCTTTTATCGATTTTTTTCTTCGTTCGATATCAATTTCCATACTTTAAATATACGTTTACCTTTCATTTTATTCACTTCAGAATGCTGCATGCTCAATGTTTGCAGATAATATAAGTGTAGCCAAAACCGATAAAAACCATGCCAAGAGAAATTCAATACGTATGATAGACGGACGTCTATAATTTGATTTGCACATAGTCTGAGACGATTAATGGTTGGGATCAAACATTGAAAAATTTGATTATGGCATGAAAGTAACGCGACATTGTTGAAAATAATTTGAAAAACATCAGTTAACCTGATGAAATCCACATTGTTGTGTTCATCATAAAGGTCAAAAACCAAAAACAACAAAGAAACGCAAATGAAATATAATATAAAAGGGAACATACCTTCAAATGATGATAAAATAATATAGCTCCACCTGTTGATAGAGCAAACCAGGCGAACAATGTTAATGTCGATACGTCCGAAATGTGGAGCGAATTTAAAATGCCAGATAAAACGATTGCCGCGGCGTGACAGCAGAGTATTGGTATCAATAAACGATCTAAAATATCCCATGGCAGATCTAAACTATAGTTGGATGGTTAGTCTATGGTGTATCCAATCGTCATATTCAATAAATAAATATATATATATATATACCTAGTGGATGATGGTACCAATGATGAGCGACGTACCGAACCACGTCTCAAGGATCCTCGTCTCAGCGAGGCACGGCGCATATCGTTATTCTACATATTTTTTTTTAGCGAAATAAACCAATGAAAAGCAATTAATACATTTGTTGTAACACGATCGAAAATAGTTAGTCGAAAAAAGATGTTGAACAAATGAAAACAAAAAAAGAGCCAAATGGGTTCAATATTCGCCAAAAGCATTGTTAGCGATTTCGACATCTTAGCAATGTACATTCTAAGGGGTGGTACATTCGAAAAATAGAAAAATGTGATTGCTTTAAGAGATAGTATGGATAATACAATTATTGAATGGCACATAGCACAGCATGTTATTTGCAATTCAATTTTGTTTTTGCATTCACTTTTTTATCGGGCAAATTTTATCTATTCGTTTCAATAAAACTTCTTTTTTGTCATTCAAATGATTCTCGCATATTTTTTTAAAGCCAAATTTCACAGATACAGACATTATATTGAGATATTTTCAACCAGATGAATCAGCTCAGCCAGATATCGTCAGGAACTGAAATTGAGTGAAAACAATAGAAGTGATTGTTATGGTTATACTTACATTGCTGCAATCACTCCTGACAATCTCTGGCTGAGCTGATTCATCTGGCTGAAAATATCTCAATATAATGTCTGTACAGATATGTTGTAAAAATAATGAAAAAAGATAAGTGAAATTTAATTAATTCAACAACAAAAAAACACATGCACTCACTATATGCATATTTTGACATTCATATTTTATTTATTCGGGCTATGAGGCACACATATCTCTTTTCTCTTCCAAAAATCACTATGCTCACCCGAAAAGATTGATGCGCTTGTGTTTTGAGAATATCTATTTATAGAAAATAATTGTTGTTCGTTGTGTCTTTGAACATATATTATTCGATTAGTGAGTCGTTAGCGCGACCAAAAGTTGACTATTCACAAAACAGTATTTGGCATATTCAAAAGAAACCACACGCACGCACAGTTTGGCAATCAAATATTCAAAAGGCAAAACTTTGACCCGCATGAACTCGAGCAAATCCACACACACATTTTTTTATATATTTATTTTCGATGTGGCACGACTGCGTTAATGGTTAACCAATTCACATTTGGCATTACGTCAAAAAATATATAGATTTCCGCTTATTGTTTGGTTTTTGCATATGGTTTTTATTTCATTATTTTGATTATTATAAATGCGTACATTTGGAAAATGGTAAAATAAAAATGCAAAACGCTCTTCGAATTGTTGATTGATGCACAAACATGTGAGGAAAAAATTCATCGAAAATTAAATGTTTTGCTAATTATTTTGTAATTTTGGGCTTGCAAATATAAAAATATGGACTTTGGGATCGATTCCAAGTTAAACCAATTAATATCGCATTTAATTATAGCCAATGTGATGTTTGTACATTCGGAATGTTTGAGTTTGATACACTGCCCAGATATGTTTTGCTGGTTTTACGCTGGTACATATAAAAATGAATTTTATGAACTTTGTGTGACACATTCATTTTTGTTTACCCAATATTCAAATCTCAATTGAAAAGAGTGAGACATGAAATTTGATAGAAAGAGAATAATAAATAAATTAGCTAAGATAGATCGAAGATTGCAGGCAAAACAGCAGTCTTGAAAAAGTCCGGTCGAAATTTTAAGTGTGTTTATCGAAAAGATGAAAAAATCAAGTGCTGAAAAGACAAAAATAGTCTATGCGCCACATAAATATTCCAAAAATAAATTTTTTCCTATTAAATGACCAATTACTATGTAGACACACATTCTCGCTTATTCAACTCATACATGCATATCGCGAGACATGGCGCGATTTAAACCGGCTGTAAAAGTGCGTTGCATGCCAAAGGATGACTTTTTTTACCGGTTAAGAAACTTTATTGTTGATTGGTTTTGATTATCGATTTTTTTTGCTTTTGGACAAACATTCATGTAAACGTAGTCTTTTTTGATTAAATGAAAAAAAGAAAAATGCGCGCATAAAAAAAGATTCTTTTAATTTTACACGGCCCAAGCATATGAATGCCAAAAATAACATCATGACAAATGGCTATATTTTGTATTTCGGAATCAAATGTGTGTAGCTGATTTTCGGTTGTCGTTGTTGTTGTGAAACAAAATCAACGGAACCAAATTTTGAATAAAGTGGAAATATCATATTGTGACAACTTATTTCGAACTGACGTTTCAATAAATACTATAGTTACAAAATGTTCCATTTGCCTACATGACAAATAATTAATCTCACACACTAAACGATTACGAAATGCAAATAAAGTCATAAAGAGCCGGTTGCTCTTTTACTCTTCAACTAATTTGTGGTGTTTTAGCAATGATTGCACTGTTACGTAACACAGTACTAGAAAAATTTCGATCTGTATCACTACCAAAAGCATTGCGAACAAATCCCAAAAAGAGATCAAGCGAAGATATTACTTAAAAAAAGTGAATGCTGGACGAGTATTTAGAAAACGTTTATCGAAATGTAGGAAGTTCAGTTTCCAAGCATGCACGAAGCAAAAATTGGCACTTGATTAAAAAGTAATTTTCTATTAAAACTTACCGAAACCATGATGTGCAACACAGTTTGTCGTTTTTTCTTTCCTTATTTTTTTTTCACTTGGCTAAATAAATAAATAAATATATGAAGAGTGAGAGAGAAAAGCGAACAAGATAATGAATAAGTGAATAAGTAATTCTGGATATGCGATATAAGTTGAAAACTGTACATCTCCAACAAATTGAATTTAGGTTACACAAACAAAACCACTCGACAATTTTGTATATTTCTAAGCTTTTTGGAAAATATTCGACATCTTTCAATATTTTTTTTTCTGCCATTCCATACTTTTTTAATTTCTTTTTTTTTTTCAACTTTTTTGCTCTCTTGAAAATAAACTGATAAAATCACACAAAAAACATGCCAAAAAACCGTTTACATTACTACAAAGTGGGAAGGCGGCATAATTTTACATGTATATGCAAATATGTGACACGGAAAAGTGTCGTGCTTGTCCCATCCAGATTGAAGTAATTACAGTTTATCGAAAAATAATCAAAAGCACTCAGTTTAATTGGCGCTGGAATCAGCTAGCACACAAATAGAAAACAAATTTCTACAACATGCACTGACTGACGATAAAAATAATAATAATAATAATATTGAAAAATGAATTTTCAGCGATTACTATAATCGGCTGACGACGAGAGAAAAAATACGAAACACCCGTTAAAATTAATTATTATTATCGAATGTTCAAAGAATTTAAAACGAAAAATGAATTTTTTTAACAAACAAACTTTTACCAAACGTGAAGTTTGCTTTTAACTAGTTTCTCTCTCTATATGTTATCGACTATAGCTTTGCCACGATACTGATCTCGTCGCGCAATTTGCGTACGCTTAATCCTTTCTCGTGGATCGGTGTCAGAATATCTATCGAAATCTGTATAGCCGGATTGAAACTGCTACTTTTGTTCCTCTCTATTCGTGAAGCAGCAAAATCGCGAAATCGAACGAAATATTTGAAAGAAACAAAATCTTCGGCTCATTTCGGATATAGTAAAATTGTTGATTTCAATATTGGCTGATTACAAATTCTATGACCGATTAAAAATAATTGACATCTGTAGAAATGAAGTGTCCAACATTTTCATTAATCGTTTCATATTTTGAATTTTAATATAATTTGTCAGACCTCATGTCCTCTTTCAGATTGTTTTGGAAAAGGTCGTTCTTTATGCACGACATTTTTTGCAATTTCATTTTCGATTCACAGACTAACAAGAGAGAAATTAAATGAAGAGATATATTGAATATTCTTGGTATTTCATTGGATTTTGAAGTTTTTGTTATCGTTCGTTTTGTGTCTATTTCGCTTCACAACGATCGGAAAAATGATCGGTGTGTGAAACACTGAATATCATACGTCAATAAAAATAAGAAAATTCAACACGTTATTATACATATGAATATGAATCGGCAAGAGATGAAAGAAGAGCAGACGAGTATTTCGATTGTATGAGAACAGTTAATTGACTGCAGATGAAATGCTAAAATGTGACCGAACATTTGCGTAAATGCATACATTTAACCAACGATATGAGATGCATGAATTAGATCGACGAAACACCCAAGCTAAGCACACAATTTATTTATCGGACTTGAACATTGTTGTGCCACATAAATAACAATTTCGTCTAGGTGAATCACGTTTGGAGGCAAACTAATATCCATTAGATGTCAGATACAGTAAATGTGATATGATGTCAATGATTTATTGTACCGAAACTACGTTCAATCTATTATTGTAATCGTTCATGCATAACGCTTGATTTTTTGTGACAAATTATTTAATTAACCTGTAATACTCTCATGTATGAGTGTCACTCATTCCAAGAGAAAAAAAAACTATATCTGTTAAGATAGATTTACAGAGTAGAGATTTAACGGAGTGTATTATTTCAAGGGTATTCTGAACAAATGATTGACATAAGCAAACGCATCGACAGACATCTCGATTGGGTTCGTTCAAAATCTCTTTGGGGTATGGAAGGATCAAAAACTGCAACAAATCGAACTATTTTCGCTTAATTGCCGATGAACACAATTGAGGTGGTTCCGATAGGATCGTATTTCATGACTACATCAAAAATAACATCTACATTTTCTCCCATAATGCGTTGTGTCTGAAATTCGGGTCTGAATATTACCCACCATTTTTGCTATAAACTCTGCCATGGATCGACATTATGTGCAGTGTTGAGTGATGGTTTATTTATATATTTACGGATTCCACTGAACGCATGTTCATCGTTTTTTCTTTCCTCCACTGATTATTATGTCAATTTAACGTACACGATTAAAACTTTAAACGGATTTTACATCCATCTCATCTATTTTTTTCTTCTTCTTAATTTTTATTATAACAAAAATGAAAATGCAAGCTTTATCAAAGCTTATCTACATGTGAGGGGCCTTCTTTCGCTTGAAGATTATTTAACTGATAATATATGAAGACAACCATCTAAAAATAAATAAATTCGCATAATTGTCGAGCAAAACATCATTTTACATCTTCATCCATCCAAGATTTGTATCGTAATCGAATTCCAAGCCAAAAATCCCAACAAAAAAAAGTTAAAAGAAACCCATAATCATAAAATAATAAAGCATATACTCCATGTGGATAGCATTGTTAGCCCAAGATTTGAATAAATTTTACACAATTACTGTTTCTATGACCCCTAAATCACAGACATTTGCAATGTTGTAGAAACAGTAATTGTGTAAAAATTTATTCAAATTAAAACGAAAGATCTGGCCCATAATGGCAGAACATTTCGCAGATTAATTTTGCTTCAAAATGATATCTCAAAATATAGAAAACTATTCGCATATAACCGTTTGTATAACTGTCGAAGTTCAAAAGATTTATTCATCGAAATAGATAAAAGGAAATCAAACTTCACCATGATTTATTATTCGTTAATTTGATTAGTGTGGTTTATTTTTATCGATTATGTGGTAAACATCACTCTGTTGTTTGTGTATGTAGATTGTGATTTTGCGCGTTCGCTCGTTTTAACAGTTTCCATTCGATTTGGGTCGAGATCTTGATATTTTGTGCGTTAATTATGACACATGTAAGGTTTTTTTACATCTGGTATTTATAATCATTTTTATGATATTTTTGGTCTTTGATTTTGTTTTTCTGTTTGCGATTTCATTTTTGCGTCGATAATGCTTCAATACATTTCACTCCGCATTTGATTTGGTGATTGGTGCAAAAGTCACAATAAATTATTCAGTGACAAAATGGTAAATCAATGGACAGATTTTGTAAAAAAATTCGCAGAAAAAAGTTGTCTTGCGTAAAATTTCGTTATATCCAAATGGGTTGCTGTCATCACATTCCATGGGGATATCATAAGCACACATATATCCACAAACACTATATAAAAGGCAAAAAAGAGATCAAATGATTTTGAAATCAACATATATACTCGATATGCTTTTTGCATAAAACTCCTTCGCATTCACATTTGCATTGAACCTCAACATACCACGATTCAGTGTGCCATTTTCGGTCATTTCAATCGAATTTATTGAATACTTTAAAAATATTTCACACCCGGTGATGATAAACAGTTTTGTATGAATGAAAAATTAAAAAGAGATGATCAATCAAAGAGCACTTGTAAAGCACGATATCATACGTAATACATATAAGCTGCAACTTTGTCGTTTGTAATATATTTATTTTACACGTTTTTATCCAATAAAAGTATAGCTATCTTTTGAAATGGTATTTGTTCAGTTTAAAGTCGATCATTGACGAGTGCATTTTGATTCAAAATCGATTGATGATGAAACAGCTATAAAAACGAAGTAAATAAAGTCAGTAAACGTCGTTATATCTTTGGTAAATTGATACAGAAAAAAGCCATCAGGTTATTCAAATGCAAACAATTGTAATTGAGCTGTTTTTTGTCGTTTTTGATCAAATCTGTTTTATTTTCTCATTTACTCTCCGGCAATTTGATGATTTTTTTTTATTCGATCACAATCAACAACAATGACGAAGGAAAATGTACTTTTCGTAAATATTGTGCCATATTACTTAAAATAAGCCCATTTTGCATGTAAATGTCACCAGATTTGCAAACAAAATATTATGCGACGTAGAAAAAGTGTCGCGAAGGAGAAAAGAGAGAAAATGGGCAAATAACAAGCAGAATACAAGACTTTCTTACTTTTTCATTTGTTTCTCGTTTTTTTTTTCTTCGTTGCTGTCAGAATGCACTCAGTTTTGGTACCAAAAATTTTCGTTGCTTTGCTCGTCAGAAACACACAGTCTCTATAGCCATTAATTTATATTTAGAAAATGATAAAAAGAATAATAAAGGGCAACGCGCGAAAAAGCGAAAGTGGTGACAAGGAAAGTGTTTAAACGAGACGAAAAATGGTTGGCGCGCATACGGGAACGGTGAGATTTTGAATTGAAAAATTTAGTGTTTGATATCTTTCACTCGCTCGCTCGCTCTCTCGCTCTCTTCACACAACACATTTCACACCAACATCTCGAATGTTAGATTACGTTCAATTCGAACAACACAAAAAACAAAAACACACATATATACGCTATATTCATCACACATCTGGATAAATTGAAGGCAATTCTCGACACAGGAAGTAAACATTTAGTTATTTGATAATAATCATCCAAACCAATTGAATGAAAATATTCACTTGAATATATCTCGATGAGATTGCAAAATGTAGATTGATATGAAATTAAAATAAACATACTCAATGGTGTTTTGATCTTTAGTGCCAAACCGTTTTCTCGAGCGCTTTCCCATCATCGTGTATGAAAATAAATTCATAGATGTGTCTCTTATTATATTTATAAATAACATCATGATACCGAAAGTGTGAGTTTTGGTGTTTATGTTGCTTTACACAACAGGCGAAAGTATTTTCTATTCAATGATGATATTTTGCTGAAAATTCATATGTCCTAATAGATAATTATGCATTAATAAATCGGTTTACCGCTTCATTTGAAAAAACATAAACAAGAAAAAAGCGTATATGAGAACGATTTTAAACATTTTCAAGAATACCATCTATGTGGTTGTGGCATAAACTCATATCCCATAAATCATCGTGTAGAGAAAACAACATGTCATTGAATTTCGCTACCACATTTCTCCAATCGACTACCAATTTTTTTAAAATAATTTCGTCTACTATATATTTTACTGTGAACCATTTTCATCAACAATGATTTCTAACGACGGTTCAATTCATTGCATTTTTTTGAATATCCAGTTGTCAATGCTTTACCATCACCACAAATGACATTTTGCGCGTGTACATACGATTTATGAATTTGGTCGGGCTCGTTACAGTAAATATTTACGATGAGATGAAAATCATACTTTATGCTGCGTTTATCACTAAATTACAAATTCGTTTATCGATGCTTCCATCTTTGCCCACATTTGTTCAGGAAAAAAAACTTCCGTCTACTGCAATAACATTCACAAAATATAGGTATGAATCTATTTTGATGTTTTGAAGAGAAAAACACGTATTTTTTATATAAAAATCTCATTTTTGTTACGTCGACACTAAATTTTTGTTTTGGCTATCAACTGTGATGATTGCATAAATTTGATCATATTAAGTCAATAAATTTCACCCACACAATGAATAACTAGCGAATGGAAAATGTAATAAAATAGATATTGGCATCATGAAAACTGAAAAGGTGAAATCACATCTTTGTCTTATCAAAAAATTGGGCGAACTTAGACTGAAGATATATTCATAATTGGTTCGAAAAATGTGCCAAACCACACACATATCGTACATATACAGAATAACCTGTCAATTTTCCGCTATATAGAGGTTCCATTCATTGTAATTAGA